CCTCAGAGAAGCCAAGAGTCCCGCTTGCGCTGCCCTGTCCCATTAGCCCCCCACACCTTCCCCTGAAGTAGGGACAGCTCTCCCTCATTAAAGGCTGCTGGAACACAGGCACTGGACATTTTCGTTCTCTTGTGTCTATTTTTTCCCCTTCCTTTCTTCCCCATTCCCTTGTTCCCTGCCAGCAAAAGTCGAGCGTCATGAATAGAGAAGGAGTCGCTTTGTTCCTCTGAGCTGTTCCGCTTTCCTGCTGCTGCTAGAAAGGCTCGGCCAAAAAAACGTTTCCCCCTCTTCTGGTCTCTCTGTTGAAAAATCTCCCAACCCTGAGGTGAGGGTTGCAGCAGTGGCTGTAGAGGAGGAGAGAGGGCAGGTGGGGCAGGTGCTCTTTTTTTGGGAGAGAAAGAATCCCCCCTCTCCCCCAGGAACAGCTGCTTCTGAGTGGAACCCAAGTCAAAGAGTCCTGTGGAATCACGCTGGCCACCCTCTACTGACAACTGTGCCTCTATAAGCTGGGGTGGAAGCTCTGCATAAATAGCTGCCTGAAACGGCTGACATGGATTTTAAAAAACCTGCCCCACATTTTCTTTCAGAAGAAATGGTGCCATTCACCGTGTGGTTGGGGTGGAGGGGCCAGCTGGACCAAAGCCACAGAAGGACCGGCACTCTAGAAGTCTGGATAGGTGGATTTCAGGGCTTGGTGATGACGAGAAAGGAGCTTTGGGGAGTTTACGTGAACTTACAGTATTTCCAACCCTGTATTGACTGTACTGCTGTCAGGTCTAATTAACCCTCTCAAAGTAGGGGCTCAAAGGTCAAAAACAAAATATGCATAACTCCCAAGTTAGACTGTGTAGGTGTATGCATGTGAGAATTAGAGAAAAGAATGGGGGGTTGGGGGTGTGGGGGGGAGGGAGGAAGCACAGTTGTTGAAACCTGAAATAGCAATCTGTGAATTTCTGGAAGGAACAAAACTCTCTGCACACAGACACACTCACACTCCTCCCCAAAGAGATGAAGAATATTTCCCTGCACTGAACAATTTACATGAATAGCTACAACTCCGCAGTGCACACAAAACTGCACCAGATTCTTGTCTACTTTTCAAAGATGCTGCCTAGTTTTAACTACATGCAGTAAGAGAGGCATCATAAGTCCAGAACACAGAGTTCCTTCGCAAGCACACGCAATTAAATTATTAACATGGGGGCTTTGCTCATCTTTAGTTCACAGGGTCCCTGTGGTGGGAAGACAACCATGAAAGATACTGCCTGAGTCTCTGGAGGTTCCATAGAACGACTGTGGCTCTTGCTAGACCTTAATTGCATTCATTTGTCTAATCAGTACAAGGGAACCAGGCTTGATCCCCCCCTTCCCCAGACCCAAATCATTTACAAGCCCGATGTAGAGGCATCCTTGTGTGATGTTAGCCCTAAGAGGTGGTCAGTAAGGAGTCGGGGTGCAGCTATTTGGTAGTGCAGATGCTTTGCACAAAGAAGGTTGCACGTTTGATTCTTGGCCTCTCCAGACAACACTGAGAAAATACTTACCTGAAACCTTGGGAGGACTGGCACCAATCAGTATTGACAAGCAGTGGGCTAGATGGTTTGACTCACAATAAGGTGGTTCCTTGTGTTCCAGGAAGCTCTTTCCTTTTGGTGTGCCAAAACCTCCATAAGATGCACCTTCGGATGCTCAGGGATGAGAGGGAGCCCCAGGAATTTAAAAAAAAAACAGGCTGAGAAGAGTCCCATTGGATCATACGGAACCCACCCAGGAAGCATCTGAGAAGCCCACAGGCAGGTAAGATGAAGACTCTGGCACAAACCCCAATCTGTCCAGTTGCCTTCCTTCCTCCTCTGTGGCACACTACTCCTATACGAAGAGGTTCTACTTAATGTATGTTCCTCCCCTTTATCCGTCCCTTTGTTGTCTCTGTTGGTTAATTTGTAGACTATAAATCCCCTGCATGGGGACCTGTACTCAGGCACCATACCTATCCACGAGATAACAGAGATACTACTAGTAGTTTAGCTATCATGTCTGATAGTCTTATAATCTTTATCCTTGACGCAATGGATTTGGGAGGGAACGCTGTGACCTAAAAGCCCTCCCTCTCCTACTTCCCATGGAATTGGGGTGGGGAGGGGAAGAGATGCAACGAAAGGAAACAAATATGAATGAGCACACAGGAGCAGCTCACACCAGTTCACCTTAGAAAATTCAAAACAGCCATTTGTTTCTGAGCTTGGGTACATTTGTAAAGTGGAAGAAGGAAAGGCACCGGGCGTCTGCTTCTCTTGATTCCACCAGAGTGGGTTCAGGGGTAGAGGACAACTTGAGTTTCAATAAAATATCTAAGGCTAAGGGCAGGGATTTCGATTTTGCATCACACTCCCTTGGTTTTCTCTGGCAAAATGAATTGGAGGCCTGGAAAAAAATGCTTTGCGCCAGATCAAATTGGACACCAGTGCAGGGTGGCAGATTGTGTGCCTTGGCTCACTAGCTACAGTCATTTGAGGCTCCCTGTTCTGGAGGCACCTTGGACTGAGATATCCCCTTGCCCTTGTGCTGTAGGATAGTCTGGATGACAAGATTGCATTTTGGAAGACCGAAAGGTAGGCAATACTTCCTTGCAGCACAGCTAGGAAATACCTTTGCTTGAGGCCCTGGAGAATTGCTGACCATCCCTCAAACAGTATTGGGGCTGGTGGAGTGGACTCCCATCAAGGGTGTGGAAAATTGGTTTCTGGACTACAACTTCTGGATTAGCTGGCTAGTTGAAAGAGTAGTAGGGTTCTCCACCTTTACTGCACCTTTCAGTGTTGGTTGCATGCTTTTCTTGGTGCACTTTTTAATTTATTTATTATTATTTTTGCAAGCTGCCTGGAATCCCTGAAATAGAGAGGGCTACAAATCATACCAGTCTTT